GCGGCTATGCCGCAGCTTCCCCTCCCGTTTCGAGCTCATACTCAGGCCAGGCAGACACTGCCGACATGGTAAGCCAGCAGCCGATCCCAGAAATTTGCCGCATTGGCCCGGAATGTCAAAAGGAGCTCTAGAGTAGAAGCTCTTGCCCTCCGGAAGTGTCAGCTTCTTTACAAGTCTGAGGGGGCCAGAAGCCCGGAAACAGGAAGCAACCTCTCGGACCTCACGGTGCTCATTTGCAATGCTGGGTGGGTCGACTGCCTTAACTTCCAGGAAATCAGCACGACTGCACCAGAAGCAAAGAAGAAGGAAAAAACGCACGTTCGGCCGATACCGTGGCTCTGGTGGAAGCTTGGGCCAGGAAGCACGGAGAAATCTCGTCAGTTCTGTTAGCAGATGGCAGCCGTTCAGTCTTCTGACATCGCATGAAAACCATGGAGCGTGTACTTGGGTGGTGCTGGGTAGCTGGTAGCTGGCCCGAGCCTAGCAGCTAGCAGAATGGGACATTTATAGCTGAACAGGAGCTGACTTACTTCAGAAAGCCAAGCATGTCTCGGGTTCAGGCTCTCTAGTCCCTTTCAACAGTTCGCTCCTTTTCTCAGACTCTCTAATCCCTTTTAACGGTTCGCTCCTTTTCTCAGATTCTCCAGTCCCTTTCGAACGGCTCGCTCTTCTGTCTCAGATTCTCTAGTCCCTTTAACGGTTCGCCTTTTTTTGTAATCAGATTCTCTGGTCCCATTCAACAGTTCGCTCGTTTTCTCAGATTCTCTAGTTCCTTTCAACGGTTCGCTCCTTTTCTAAGATTCTCGAATCCCTTTTTAACGGTTAGCGCCTGTCTCAGATTCCTCAGTCCCTTTCGAACGGTTCGCTCTGCTATTCAGATTTGATTGTTACTTTCAACCTGTTAGCAGCTCGGACCTTTCTCAAAAAGTCTAGTCTTTTTCGAGTGGTTCGCTCTTCTGTCTCAGATTCTCTAGTCCCTTTCAACGGTTCGCTCGTCTTTCTCAGATTCTCTGGTCCCTTGCGATTCTCCCCTCTGCCTCAGACCCTCCGTGTCGAACGGTTCGCTTTTCTTGTTCAGTTTTCGGATTCGGTTCTCTAGTCCCTTTCGAACGGTCGCTTTTCTTTCTCAGATTCTCGACTAAGTATCGAACGGTTTGCTGCTCTTTCTCAGATTCTCAGTTCCTTCCGAACGGTTTCCCCCTTTTCCAGACTCTCGAGTTGCTCTCGAGCGGTTCGTTCCCTGGTTTCAGCCCCCCTAATCCCTTTCGAACGGTTCGCTCCTCTATCTCAGGTTTGTCCGATTCCCCAGTACTTTTGGAGCGGTTCGTCCCTCGTTCTCGGAGTCTTCAGTCGATTTCGCGCTCTTGGGTTGTCTCGTCCCTTTCGAAGGTTTCGCTCCTCTTTCTCAGATCGATGCTCTAGTCCCAGTTGAGCGGTTCGCTCCTCTTTTCTCAGATTCTCTAGTTCCTTCGCACGGTTCGCTCCACTTTCTCAGCTTCTAGTCCCTTTCAATGGTTCGCTCCTTTTCTCAGATGCTCTAGTCCCATTCGAGCGGTTCGCTCCTGTTTCTCAGGTTCTCTGGCTTTCGAACTTTTCGCTGCTCCTTCTCAGATTCTCGCTCTCGAGCGGTTCGCTCCTCTTTCTCAGATTCCCCACTCCCTTTTCCGAGTTCTCTATAGTACATTGCGAACGGTTCGCTCGTCTTTCTCAGATTCTCTCGTCCCTTTCCAACGGTTCGCTGCCTTTTCTCAAACTCTGTAGTCCTTTTTGATCGGTTCGCTGCTTTGTTTCTGAGCGGTTCGTTCCTTTTTGTTGGACTACAGTCCCCTTCGAACGGTTCGCTCCTCTCGCTCACATTCTCTAGGCGTCCCTTTCGAACGGTTCGCTCCTCTCGCTCACATTCTCCGGGCGTCCCTTTTCTCGGATTCTTCATTCGATTTCGTGCGGTTCGCTCCTCTTTCTCTGATTTCCAGTCCTTGTCGAGCAGTTCGCTCCTCTTTCTCAGGTTCTCCAGTGCCTTTCGGTTCGCTCCGCCTTGTCACTTTCTCTAGTCCCCTTTCAAACGGCTCGCTCCCCTTTCTCAGATGCTCCAGTCCTATTTTTTGATAGATGCTCTAGTCCTTTTCGCACGATTCGCTCCTTTGCTCATGTCTCTGGCTTTCACGAGGTTCGCTCCTTTTTCTCATGCTCTCTAATCTCTTTCGAACGGCTCGCTCCTTTTTCTCAGATTCTGTGGTCTCTTTCGAGCGGTTCGCTCCGTTTTCCCAGATTCCGTGGTCCATGTCGAACGGTTCGCTCCTTGCTCTTTTAAGGATTCTCCTCTCAAGGCGACATTTTTGGCCTTCCACTCCTTAACTTCGAACGCTGCAGAAGTTGCCACTCCTCCCATCTTCCAGCTCCTCACTCTGCCCCTAAACCCCTAAACCCTAAACCCCTAAACCCCCTGCCTTCAGGCATGCCTGCTGCGCAGCAGCCTGCAGCGGTCCCAGACTGGATCAATCAGAGGAGCTCCAAAAACGGCTCAAAGCTGCAGGCCCACCGAGCGACTGCGGTTTTTACCTGTTCCGGATGCTGAAGCTGGACACGACGACTGACAAACTTAACTGGGTCTCTGGCATGCCGAGGTAGCCGCCAACGTTGTCGGTGTCCCAGAAGCTGCTACACAGAGCTTGCTCGACCGCGGGTCTGGCCTTCCTTGCGAGATACTTGCAGAATGGCCAACACTCCCCGAACACCCGAACCGGCCGGATGCCCGCACCTCTAAGCGAGGCATGTCCAAACCCCAACTGAGCGAGGCTTATGCATGTGCTCTACGACTTTGCAGGGAGGTACGGGTGGCGTTCACTCAGTCTTGTCACCCTTCCTCGGGCAGAAGCGTGCCGAAAGTCTCTCAAGAGCTTGGGTGGGAACGGGGCCGTTCTGCGTCACAACGATCGCAGCGACAAAGCCAAGAAAGTTTCGGAGGAGAGGTTCCGAAGCCAATCCACGAAGCCCCGGACTATGGCAGTCACTCGGTCCCGGTCGTTGAAGCGGCGGCTGCTTTCATCTTGAGCATGCCATGCCAACGCCTAAAGCACTGTGCGCGACTCGGCTTGTGGAGGGAGGTGCCACCATGTGGACGGTGTGGCAAAGAAGAGTACAAGAGGTCAGCACCGGAGTCTCGTGTCCCCGGAATAACGGTCGTGGTGTGTCGGAGTACTGCCACCACTTCGATTTGCCACTTGCTACTGTGACTACCACTGCCACTACCACTACCACGACGACGGCAACGACGGCTGCTCAGCAGATGACGACGACGATGACAGCTTATTACTGCTACTCGGTCTTGCCCCTTCGTGATAGAAGTGTCAAGAACCCTTGAAGTTGGAATGCTAGTGTCTGCTGAACAGAAGAGCATCCGGCTCAAGGCAACTACGTCCTCACTTTCGTTGCCTCCGAAGCTATGCTTCCCAGGTCGGGCGGCCCAAGACGGCGGCAGCCGCGGAGGATTCCGAAGATGATCTCGCAGGTTCGAGACGGAGCGAAGCAGAATGACGTCGGGGTGTAGGAGTTTAGGGTCTACTGCAATAGTTAGGTCTGAATGCAAAAGGGTTTACTATAGTTTGCTATCTACAGCAGCAGTTAGAGCAATAATTTGGGCAGGTGCCGAGCAGTGACTCACCGTATCCGTGTGTAAGCTGTGTCGGTTTGTTCGGCTTGGGGTGCAGACTGTGGCCGAGTGGTCGCTTTGTATCAGTTACGTATGCTGTAGCTTGATTTTGCTCTCTCCAGTTTGTCAATTTGCACCACATGTCTTGACGGTAAATCCTAAACCCTAAACCCTATTAGTAATCATCCCTGCAGTGCGACCTAGTCAGCGAAGCGGGTGGGAAAAATTAGTAATCAGCGACGTGGAGTTTCTGTCGTCACGAGCTTCGAGTGGGTTGTCGAAGACAGGGAAGGGTTCAATAGTCAATAGCCCCGCAAGGAAGAACGAACCCAAAGTAGTTCAGCATAGCAGGAGCAGTCCTTCCATGGACCTGAAATGTTTTGCCTGACGATAGTAGGGTGATTTCAATCTGACCGCAACCCAAAAGAGTCGGGCCAGCAGACAAGCAGAGGCATGAGCACTGAGTAAGCCAAACCGAGCTGCCGGAAGCTTCCAGGCTGTTTGTCACTCCCAACCCTATCTACTACCTAATATAGGGGCTTAAATAGTTACCTATATTATTCCTGAGGGTTCCTTATTGAAAGTTAAACATACCATGAAGGAGCCCAAATCCCCATCCTACTTGTGAAGGCCCCGACATTACGTGTTCGGGGGATACAAGAGGGCCTTGCCAAGCACAGCTTTGCAGGAGAGGGCTTAGGGTGGAGGGCTTATAATATAGCAGTATACATAATTACTAGGACCATGTTGGGGCTCCTTATGCAGAACCCTATTCCAATTATGAAGGCCGGGGGGCTTCAGCCTTTCGTTGATCCGAGGCTGGGACTCATGACGCCGATGTCGGCCTTGGATCGCAGAGGCTGTGGTCGCTGATGTTGCAAGTGTGGGCTTACTTTAAGACCCCCAGAAACCTCCGTGAATTTAGGAATATACCGGAATATGCCTTAACAAAAGTTGTGGAGGAAAAGAAATGTGGAACACTTGCTGTTAGTACTCAGACATCTGTGGCGCACAGTAGTAGTTGAACTTGTGGGCGGAATTCTTTGCGCCTCTGGAAGGGAGCCGCGCGCACCAGGGGAAGTTTTGCTCGAGAACTAGGCCTCAACACATGTGCAAGCCCACGCACGCAGAGGGCTACAGATGGTTGTCCGAGCAACAGTTTGGCGGTTCTCCCCACCACACACGTAAATTTGCCAGAACCCCGGCTAGCCAAGCAGTGCGTCATATCATGAGGGAACAGCTTGTTGGCTGCATCCGATCGGGGGAAGCCTTCACCCTCACGCCCAGCCCATCCTTCAGCCTCCCCCCAGCTTGATTAGCAGAGCAAGCCTCTCGTTTCGGAGTCGGCGCCATGGCTTTTTCGAAGCTGCAGCAGCAGTCCACGTCACAAACCAAGACGCTTGGCTGCTCTCTAGATATTGCCACAAACTCACCCTATAGCGAAGCTGCTTAACCAATCAGAACGCTGACATCGACACCCCTAAACGGCCCTAAACCCTAAACTATAAACCCGCCTCATGCCCTGAACATCCCAAATCCGCTGAGGATGGAGCTCATAGCGGCCCAGGTGCTGCGCTTTGTTCGTACATGTTTCCCTTGTTGTGTTCTCATGAATGTCTCGGTGATATCTCAGTTTGTTGAAGTTTTCTTCTCATGAGCAGAGGGTCCCGGTTAGCTATGCGAAGGGTCATTACAAACTGCACCGGCGCCACTGGTTCGGAGAGCGGCGTGTTAGCTTACTTCAGCCGCTTTTGGGCGCAGTGCTGTGTATCTGACATATCTCAGCCGTGGCCCTCCAACAACAGTCAAGTACTTAGAATCTAGGGTTTATGGTTTAGGGTTTACCCTAAACCCTAAACCCCTAGACCTTAAACCCTAAGCCCTAAACCGAATCACAATGCCTTGACACTCTCAGCTTCTCGAACGCTCCTGGGTCGAAACAGGCGAAGATCCTCGAGCTTAGCAGTGGCCTTGGAGCGGAAAGCCAAAGTTTGGTATGCGATGCGCTGAGGGCTGATTGGATCCGTTAAGTTGAAGTTTGAAACCTTAGGGTTCATCTGGCTGACGTGCTGTCTTATGCATGAGCAACTGACTGAATCTATGTAGCTTCTTTCTGCGGCACGTCTCCAGTCAGTCAAGCATGGCAGAGTCCGGCATCAGCACGTACCATCCCACCTCTGAGGCCTAGTCACTCCTCCGCAGGCGATGCAGCGGGTAGTCTAGGGCTAGGGTTGATCAGCAATCGTATCACCTTTGTTGTTCCTTCTTTAAATGTCCAGTCGACTATACCCCCCAAAACCGCTGAACCCTAAACCTATAAACCCTCAGAACCTAAGATCTTATATCACCCGAGGCCTTCACATCCTGACCTGTGCAGATGTCTGAGTGCAACTTCGCACTTCTCACAAGCCCCCAGAACATGTGAGGATTATCACAACTATTGCCATCATCACTCTGATTATAAAAGCCCGAGGTTGCCGGGCCGACCAGCCCGCCTTCCAAACAGGAGGTCCGAGTAGCACCTTGCGGCAAAATCCCATCAAAGAGGGTTTACCTAGACCCCCACAGGTAGGTAAATAATAGCCCAACACTTACAAAAAGGCTATTATTCTACATACTTTTGGGGTCCAGGTAGGGTTTACTGTTTTGCGGCCATGGCTCCTCCTGCTGCCCGTGTTTCCGTGCTGCTGGCACTCGCCCTGGCTCCTCGCGCTTCGCTCTGGATCGCAGGCGTGCACAAAGCCAATTACATGGCGGGGTTACCATACATATATATATATATACATAGAAATATTTGTGTTGTATTATAGCATTATATTTTGCTTCGGTATGTTATACCTGCCAAATGTCAACCCTGCTGTCGTACACCTGCAACATGCAACGGTCAATTTCGGCGCAGGTTCACAACATGACGGATCTGTTCGACCACTCCGTTCGCGCATCCCACGACAGCTCTTCAGCGAGACTCTTTGCAGCAGCTGCGCAAGGAAATTTGACAGCGTAGGGAGGCCATGTGGAGTCAACATTTTAGCACGGCTGCTGCACTTGTAAGCAGAATGGCCCCCGTAGCCCATGTGAAGTCGCGAAATAGCCGACACCGACCGGCACATGTCATAATAGTGGCTCGCACAACTCCAGTTCAAGGCGTACAACTGCTTTTTTTGCACATGTTATCTTCCGAAAAAGCCTCGTCCCATCGATTTCTTGTCGCACTTGTGAACCAAACCCTTGACCTTTTCAATCTTCCAAACCCTTCCGGGAAAAGCTGTTGGACATGAGTTGGGTAACTCTCCGTCACAAGCACATTCAGCATAACGCAATCTGAGGAATATGTTCCATCGCCGAAGCACCCGGCCGTTCTCCACCTGGTATGGTCCGCCGGTAGTCAAAGATGCGGACATCAAGAGGTGCCTCCCATGGCATGCAACATCATTCTTCCAGCCGTGAATGCTGGGATGTCCTGGGTCCGGGCGATCTGTGGGTTGTTGTGTGTCAAGGCCCTTTAAGAGAGATGTCTCCACAAGTGCTTCTTCACATGAACACCCATGAGTTCGTGGATTTCTGATGAAATCAAGCTGCCTGACCAACTCTGAGGTTTCAGCAAGGACTTTAAGGAGGCCTTAGAAGGCCTTACAAGTTCCGATGCCGACCTGGGTTCTGGGGGCAATCCGTGAGTACGGCTTAGTGCTAAGCAAATCCTACGATCAGCCTGGCAGTAGTACCCCGAGAGCCCAATACTCCTTGAATAGTTAGGCAGTATGGGTTGGATGTATGCCACCCTAGTTATCTCTTCGGTTTGCCGGGAAATTGGTGTGAGAATGGTCGTTACATGTCGTTACCTTCCGGAGGGGGGTCGGTTTCATCTAGCCCTCATAGAGGACAACATACTATAATTCAGTTTAGTCTAGTGTAAAGTACTTTTCGTATGGGGCGGGGGCCTCTCGTGACCTCAGTGCTCCCAGGTATGTGGATTTGGTGCTAGCAGATCCCAGGAGTCAAGTCAATGATCCTGCAGTGCCTGACTTTGTCGAACGTGAAGTCTACTTTGTGGTGGTTCGTTTCGTCCTGCAGATGCTCCACTATGCTTTTGGCATCGTGGACCAGCGGGCTCTCTTTGGCCAGACTTTGTACATGCTGCAGTATCCGGACAAGCAAAGCTCAGGTCTACATCGGTCAGACGTCGAGCTCACACCCGAGATGATCAACTTCTTCATGCGCGAGGTGGTCTTTCAAGCCAAAGGCGACAAAGCCATCATCAACCCAGCTACGGACAAAATCGTGTACAAGAACGCAGTTAAGTTTGCATTGAGGCTAGTGCTTGACATGGTCTCCTCCGTACGATTTTCTGCCTGTGGGTTGCGAATCCGCCTCGACGTGTCGGCGGATCCCAAGACCGCAAGGAAGGCTCTCCAGCAGGGTCACCTGGACCTCGCACCCTTTGAAAAGTCTTGTGAGCCATTGATAGAAGACTTACTCTCTCAACGAACCTTGCCTGTGCCGGGTGGGCTGCAGAAAGCTCTATACAAGAACCTCTTGCGTGTTCTGGCATATTGCGCCGCTGCAACTGTGAAGTCATCAGAACTGGACATATTTGGGATTTGTGTGGATCCCAGGTTGGGTAGATAACTAGTTGCTGCCATGCGCCTGACCATATGTGACGCACGGCAGAAGAGGTGGGTTTAGGGCTTAGGGTTTGTTGCAGCCGTAAGGCAAGCCAGACCCGTTGACATGTTACTGCAGCGCGACGTCTGCCTCAAATCACCTGGGGCTAGCTCCAACCAACTCAGCACCTCATGATGCCCTAAACTTCTAAACCCGCTCTGTCTGTCTGTCTGTCTGTCTGTCTGTCTGTCTGTCTGTCTGTCTGTCTGTCTGTCTGTCTGTCTCTCTCTCTCTCTCTCTCTCTTTCTCGCTCTCTCCCTATCTTATTATGTATGTGTAAAGATGTTATATGCGTACTTATGTATTGCTTCGTCTGTTGTTCTTTGTTTAGTGGGCATACACTGCAAGTCCGTGCTTAAAAACGTGGAAATTTTTACATGTACTACATTGTTACTACATGTATATCACATGTATTCTGTATGTTGTATGCGAAACGTGACGTTTTGGCTCAGCTGGCGGAGTTCCTTCCCGAGTCGGGAAGCCCAGGTGTGAATCGGCGCGATTCTTGCCGGAGGATCCATGGTTTGGGTCGTGAAGATGATAAGTTCACTTTGATCGAGGTGGAGAAGCGCACGCCTTCTCCACCCTGCACGAAAAGCATTCCACCATGATTGAAGGTCAAAGTCGAGAGCTTTCAGGACAAGTATCTCGCAGAGTTGTTAGAGCGGGCAACAATTTGCAACGATTGCCCGCAGTTCCAGCTTTGACGCAACCTTCTCCACCCCCCCGCTGCCGAAGTGACTGAGAAGCAGTTCCGAAACGGATTGCTGCTGAACGTGTTTCCGGCAGCCCAGGTCATCCAGAGTTTTGCTGCAGGCCCTGCACGCACTTCTTGCGTGGGAACTGTCAAGCTGGTTGGGATTGTTTCTACTGCCATCATGCAGAGCATCGCGACGGGTTTCACCCGACCAAGCATCGTCGGCAGACGCTGCAGCAATTGAACGTTCCAGGCAGACTGCTCCTCTTGCGCAACTGCTTAGAGATCAAAGCTGCCAGAATGCCGCGCGAGCTGCCGCCTATTCAAGCACTGCGCGATGCTGTTGAAGACTCCCCTTCATCGTGGCGCGGACCAGCAGGCAGCTACGGATGTGCGCTCTCTCCAGGCATAGCTGTCACTGCTCGGAAGCGCCTTGCTCGGCCACTCAGTGGGTGACGTCGATCTCGAACTTTGTAAGTCCATTCTGGAGCCGTTCAATCTGCTCAGATTGGCCAGTCCGATTCCGACGTGAGTTGCCATGGAAACCAACATCAACGGGAAAGAGTGTGAAAATTCTGTTCCGTTTTGTCTTTCTGCGTTGGCAGAAGTTGGGAAATATGATAATGAGGCACCTCAGACGGAGCAGCCACCAGCAGAATTGCTTTCCTTGCAGGACGGGATTTGCTTCACCTGATGCAGCTCGCCAGACCGCCCTAAGCCCCAGAAGCTTCCAAGACATAGTGGCGTGAAGTTATACAGGTTTAGTACCCCAAACCCTAAACCCTAAACCCTAAAAGCCCTAAACCCTAAACCGAGTTTAGGGTTTTGGGCTGACGGTGAGCGCCGCCCAATTAGGCGTTTCAAGACTCCGCAGGGCTGGATCTTCTCAAATCTCAAGATACTATAGGGGCCTTAATAATTAGAATAGGGTTTTGGGAGTTCCTTATTATGATTATAGTATAAAATACCCCCCCAAACCCCTATTCCAATTATTAAGGCCCCTACATTAGGCTCTTACGGCCTGCCATGCCACCTGTGACGATGCTGGCAGTCTGGCGGCCCTGTGTTTGTAGATTAAAGGCGCATGGATCTCAAGGTCTGCCATGCCATCTGTGAACATGCAAGCAGCACATGGTGCTAAGCTTTCTGAAACGACCTAGATCTTTCAAACTCTGGTCATTGAAATTATTTCTCATGGTTCTTGAACCGAGCAAGCATCGAGACCTAGCTTGCAGAAAGACAGAGCTCGCTGATTATTCGGTCACACTCGCGCTGTGGGCACCACCTCTTCCCAGCCGTACGCCATGTGGGCAAGTCACTTCGCGACAGCTTCCATGAAATTAGAGTTATGTCACGTGGCAATCCGATCGGTGAACACATCTGGCCGCAGCATGCGCCTACTGTCAGTAGCCTTTGAAACTCCCACAAGGGTTTAGTGCCAGGGATCCGACTGATCCGACCAAGAAGCTCCCACTGCTCGTTTCTGCGGTTGCATGTTCCTGCACTGGCTTCTGGAGTCGTGACTAAGTAGCGTCTTTTCCAAGCTCCGAATCCTTTTCGCAGCGTGCAACTGACCGTTCAACCTCATCTGATTCGTCCTAGTGCTGGAGCTCAAAGGCTAATCGGTCGCTGGCTTGCATCTTCCTGACGAGCTACTGCAGCTCTTGGAACTTGCACTCATTTTTGTTTTCCAATGTGTGTCCAACTCTAGCTGGTCAGCTCGGCGGGCGCAAAATGCCTGATGAAGGGTTCGGCCTAGCAAACAGTAAGAGAGCAGGACGTGGCACCTGTTCGACATGGAAGGAGGTTTGTGTTGAGTCTTGGGTTCACCGGTTGCCCGTGTCTCGCGCGCTGGCGGATACCGTTGGGGTGGTAGTGTAGGAGTCTGACTATATCAATGCTGGTTTTTTTGCTACATGATCCTACATGATTACCGTAGCTTAATAACAAACCCTAAACCCTAAACCCCATAGCATTATTGAGGCCCTGCATGAGCCTACTCCGGCAACTTGCTGCAAACAATTCCACGGAAGAAATCCCCAAGGCAAGGAGCTCTCGGAAGCTCACCGGAGGAGCCATGGACTTCGTGAATGGGTTTTTAGGGGTTTTGGGTTTCATTTAAGGGTTGAAGGTTTGGGGGTTTTGGGTTTATTTTTAAGGGTTGAAGGTTTAGGGGTTTGAGGGTTGAAGGTTTAAGGGGTTTGGGTTTAAAGGTTCAGGCTTGGCAGAGGGAGCTTCCGGGCGACGAGGGAAGCCCGCTGCAAAAGGGCTTAGGCTTAGGGCCTAAGGCTTACTTCTGCTCTGTTTACTATTTGGACTGATAGCAAATCAGGGTTCGGGTTCGCGTCAAGGTCGAGTAATACTTTACAGCGTCACTGCAGCTGTGGCAGATGCCGCCGCAGTCCACCTAAATCCAGGATTATTTCCTCGGCGTGTAGTAGAAGGGGTCCTTGCACAGACCAAGCTGTCTAGGACATTTTCAGGTGGGAAGTTACCGTTGTAGGAGCCTTACAGAAGGTCTATATTCCTTATAGAAGCCTTATAGAAGCTATATAAACCCTAAACTCACCACCTGTAGTTTTCCTTTAAAGCTGCTGGCCGATGCCATTGCGAGAAGAGGAGCCCGAGTTCAGAGTCTACGAGTAGCTCTTTGGGCAAGTCTGCCGCCGACCAAGGCAGGTAGCTGCCGCTGCACAGCTTTGCTTTCGGGTATGTGTTCTCATACTTTGTACATTCTCTCACGGTCTCTACATCTGCCTGACGAACTTATACCAGCCATGGTACCATCGCACGATTTCACAACATCTCACCACATCCACAATGGTTTTGGGAAGGGAAAGCAGTTGCAAATAATATCTCCAAAGCCCTCAACCTTAAAACCCTAAACCCTGAACCCTAAACCCTAAACCCAAAGCTTTTCCGGTGGCCGCGCCTCCCATCCCCTGCCACAAGGCGTCGAAGACTTGATCCGCGATCTTCGGCAGAGCCAGGAGGCCTCCTTCTGTGGTTGAGAGTATACCCATAGGCCCCTAAGTAGGTCCTTTTTGGGATTACCCTATAGGATTCTAAATATGAACCACAAAAAGGAACTACTTAGGGGCCTATGGGTAAGTCCTGTATATGGTAGCTTCCAGCAGTAAATGCCGGCAACACTTGTAACGCGCCCTTGGCCCATACTGAGTACTTGAATCCGAAACCTGGGGATCCGATGCTTGATTGAGAGGCTTGAAGCCGCAAGCCACAGCCCAGAAACCGCCCAGCCTCGAGTCCAAACTTGTAACTGGCAGGGAGACCGGGAATCTCGAAATAGCACGGCACCGAAGGTTTGTTTGTGAAGCTAGCCTGCAAAAAGTCATGCCGAGGCATGGAAACCGCCAGCAGAGGGGCAAAGGTGTCTACATAATTAGTCATCGTGCACCTGTATAGTTCCCGAAAGCCCGATTCGAATCTGTAAGGCCCTACCCATAGGCTCCTAAGTGGTTCCTTTTTGTGGTTCATATATAGAATCCTATAACGAAATCCCCAAAAAGAACTACTAAGGAGCCTATGGGTAGGTTAAATAAACCTCATGCCTTGTGGTGTGGGCCGGCTCCGTTCCAGGAGCTCAGAACGGCAGTGGAGGCACGCCGAGAGAGATTCAGGATATTAGAGGAGCCTGAATACTTATTACAATTATGTTGCTCCTTAGGGTTCCTTAATGAATACTTACTAGATTTTTTATGTTGCTCCTTAGGATTCCTTGTTGTAATTATATGTGTTACCATACTCCCAAGCCTTTTTCTAATTATGAAGGCCCCCTCTGTTCGGATGCCTTGGGCACCAGGAAGGAATTCCTGGGCATGTCTGGTGCCAGCTTAGCCAGCACTTGAGGAATCGCGGGCTTCCTTGTTGTTTTCTTTTTTGCCGAATTTGCCGCACAGGTGATTCAAGAGGTCTGATAGCAAGGCGGTGTGTTCAAAGGATAAGACCTCCATCACCACAGGGGTGCCGCAGCCGTGTAAGGCCGCAGGATAGGTTACGAAGCCGAACTCAAGCTGATCGTCCCACTGCTCGGCTTGAAGTGATGCGTTTGACATCTCAGTCCGGAATGCGGCATGAGCATTGAGTTAGGAGCTGGTAGAATGAAGTCCCTGACGGTCAGGGTTTCATCGAGTTAAAGGCAGACCCAGGGATTTCACTACCCCTCAATTATGACATGTACGTATGTTTTGCGCACACTGCCTGCCGATTGTACCGCCCTGGACTCAAGCTCCCGTAGTCATGGCCCACATCCCCCTGATGGAGCTGAAGGCATGTGTGATGGCTATAGGGGTCTAGGTCAGGACCTCCCTTAAAAGACCGGAGGCCGCTGAGGCCTCGACCGGGGAAGCTGAGAAGGCGAAGTCTGAAGTCAACGCAGGGAGCCAAGGAGCGAGAATCTGGAGAAGTTCAGAATTCGTCAACAAGAACCTGGGTAGTTCTCTAAATTAGGGTCCCCCTTAAAGGGAGAGAACTACCCAACTAGAGCTTTCACCGACCTTGACCGTGAGTTGCCGTTTTTGCTTGCTGGGGCTCGGTGCTGGGCATCTTCGCAGATTTGGCATAGAAATGACTTCAAGAGCTTCGCTGTGGGGATGTCGACCACATGTAGGATCTGGCTGAAGATCACCGCTGCAGCTTGAAGCTAGCCGTCAATCTGCCTTAAAATGCTGCCAGGTAGACATGGACTCAGAAAGTATCGAGACATGACATGGTGTAGGGCATGCCAGAAACGTAGTGTGCTGCGCGGAGAGATCGCCACCACTCAGCGAAGCCGTCTCGGTTCTAGGGTTAGGTTGGCAGTTCAAACAATGCGGAACTCGCACATCGCACCTGACACAACTAGTGAAAAAGCAGAAGCCGATCTCTCCATTAGGCACTCAGAAACTCAACAGTCGGGCAAACAGGCTGTCTCAGGGCTATAGCCCAGCGGTACGGTGTGGGCCATCTGCCCACGGAAGCTGCCATGGTTGAGCATGAAGGCGACGTAGATGAAGGCGCTGCGCATTGACAAGTTCCACATGCTGCCTCCTCGCTTTCTCTTTCTATCTATGTATGTATACGTAGGTGACCGCACATGCATGCATGGATGCATTTGTGGATTTGTGGATGCATGTATGTATGCACGGATGTTCATACAACCATATGTATACACACATACATATGTATGTATGTATGTATGTATGCATGCATGGATGTATGTATGCATGCATGTATGGATGTATGTACATATCTATATCTGTGATGTACCTATGCATATCTGAAAACTGAGACTACGCTTGGCCGGGCTATCGCAAAGAAGGGAAATCGACCTGAGGATGTGATTGAAAGTTTGTGTCGTTGTTGAAGGCCTCGTCGCCCTGCAGCGTGAGCTGGCTCTTCAGAGGCGGGTTTCAGATTTCTGCAAGGAGAAACGGGCGGGGTGATGTACGCGAAAGTCTCTGATCAGCTGTGCACCGGCCATATGAAACTCGAGGCAGAGGACTGGAAGCAGCTACTTTCATGCGCGGAAGGGGGTGGGATTGGGGGCCGTCGATGGCTGCTTTCGGGCGCATCCGACTTGCGAAAGGCAGAGCTGCGCCAAGCTCCGAGAGCGAGTGGCCTCGACCAGGAACCGCGGATGTTCAGAGGTGTCAGGGTGCTACTCATTCTGTTGCGTGTGTCGACCACAGTGTTTCACTATCGCTTGATGTCAACGGGGTCATTCTTTTGTGAGGGATCTTTGGATGCACGAGGTTGGCTTCAGATTAGCCTTGAGCGTGAGGATTAAAGGGCTCAGTGGGGCTATTCGGCCTGGTGCATGCCGAGTCTAATTTATCGGTCAGGTGTTTCCGGACGTGTCTTTGTAGACCGCCGTGCAGTCGCCTGTGCCAGTCGTGTTCGGTCTGGGTGGTTCTTGTGTGAGCATGCCAGAGTCTTTCCGTGTTTGATCTAATAACACCGGCACCTTTTGACTTGCGACACATCTGTCGGACAGCACAGATTATCGTGAGCTGTTTCTGAATCCACCGCCCACTCAAGTTCTTGGTAGCAAGCCATGCGCACTGGACCCAGGGAAGAGAAGGCTTCGGTCATGCACGCCAGCCCTCGGCTCAGCAGTATGTTGGCATTTGGGAGCCGTTGCGACTCATGTGAACTCTGAACCCGACGGGGCATAGGCTCAGGGTAATAAATACCCATAGGCCCCTAAGTAATTCCTTTTTATGGTTGCGCGAGAGCCGCCTGCGGGACGGTTCAGCGTGGCACGGGCCAAGGCAAGAAATGAAGACGTTGGAGAGGAGGGGGAATTGCGAGTGGGGAGTGACGGAGGGGAGGCGGGGGGTGAGTGAGGGGGCAACCAGATCAAAACGCCCGAGGCCTTCAGCCGCTCAGGATGGCAGGTAGTTTTCTTTGGAGTGTGAATCATTAGAAACAGCATCTCTCTCTCTCTCTCTCTATATATATATATAATATTATTATACACACACACACACACATATATATATATATGTATTTCTATTTATCTCATTCGGTGTTCTTGGGTGCAGAAGAAGAGCCCTGTACTGTCTTCTTCGGTGGTTGTTCTTGGTTCTGCCAGGGCTTGGATTCGTCCTGTGCTGGATGGGGTCTTCTTGAGAAGACGCCAAGAGCAGAACTGTATGACAATCAGTTCATGCACTCTACCTCTCGCTCTCTCTCTCGCTCTCTCTTTTTCTCTGCCTCTGCGACTCACCGAACCACCGAACAAAGAGCATTTCGGCAGTATGCCTAGCCCGTAATGCACAGTTCAGGAATCCATAGTATCTTTGTGCATTCACAGATACATAGCTAGGTGCGCAGTTGGTAGATACGACATAGACACATACGTAAGCCATAGATACACACATAGATTCAATGAGATGCAGTGCTATGCAGTACCACACCCGGAAACGAGAAACTACGTAACTGCAGCGCATTGCAACAGCAGCAGCAACAGCACCAGCAGCAAAAGCAGCATCACAAGCACACAAGCAACAGCGACGACCTTGTCAATAATGCTTGAATCGAGTATCTCCGTGCTTTTGCAAGATATTCTCAGCACGATGCATTGGCAGCTAAGCAACAATATGCGACTACTCATACATGCACACATGTACGCCTGTACATGTCTGTGTGCACGCTGCAGAATGTACTACTCGGCGTTCTGATGTCGATCCTATTGCAAGTGTGCTCCTGGAAACGCTGGCCATGTCTTGTCGCCTCACCCGAAACTTAGTGACCTTGTGGCCACAATTGTCCTGAGGTCTTGCTGGAGTGGAGGCTTTTGCCATCTTGTGTCGTTTGCCATGGATTCTTTTTCCTTCGCTAACTCTCGGAGCCTTTTTGCTTTGGAGACTGCTTCAGGGTTCAAGCTAAAGTGGAGCGATGTTGGGCGTGGCTCTGGTTCCCCTGCAGAAGCTTCTGGTCTTGCCCTGTCGCTTGAGGGTTGCATTAGGACATTAGGAGAATTTGGGAGCAAGGTTTACATGCCAGACATCCTTGTGCAGGTTTGGGGCAGGCTTTGACATGATCTTGACGAGAAGAGATGCAAAAGAGGAAGCCTCCAACTGTCCCCCTGCCACAGGCCGCTCGTGCCCAAATTCTGCAGATGCGGCAGGAGTTGGAAATCCTACAGAGCAAGAAGGGGGACGAGGAGCCTAGTAGGCTGCCACGGTGTAGGGTTTAGGGTTTAGGGGTGTAAGGTTTACGAAGTTTTGCTATCTGAAGCGGAAATGCTCGCCCCTATGCACGTGAAGCAACTGCTATGCGATATCTGAAACGTTTGAAACGAATGCCCCGCCCCCATTCCAAAGATCAGAGTTAATTCGTCAAGGTGCCAGCAAAGGAGACTCGAAGACGGATATTGAGGTTTCTCTGGTCCCAGGTAGCCCGGCACTGTCAACATCTCACGGCACGGTCCAGCCACCATTAGGCCAGCCTGCCAGGACCCGGTGGAAGACTCCAATGTCCAGGATAAGGACTGGGTTAGGGTTTTGGGTTTGGGGTTTAGGGTTAAGGTTTAGGGTTTAGGGTTTTGGGTTTAGGGGTGCTTCCTTGCTCGCCTGCTGGGTTGGGACAGGGTGTCATGCTCGGCGGGTCCAGGGCCATGGGCTGGATAGGGTTTGGCTTCACGATCTTGTCAAAAGCCATTGTAAATGCGTGTTCCGATGTGGAGCGGCACGTATGCTGAAACCTCGGGCAAATGCAGAACCGTGAAATGTCATAGAATTTTCAAGTCTGCAAAGTAAACACTACCTCTACTTCCGACATTGCCCGTCCTCGGGCCTAAGTACTGTCTGTATGCAGAGTCAATTGGATTCACAGGGCTCCCTGCGATGGAAAAGCTGTCAAGCAAAGCATCAAGCAACTTGTCAAGTCAAGCAGATTCAAAAGGCAGGCGAAGCTTCAAGGCAAGTGACACCGAGATAGCCCGGAGCTTGTACCTGACTACCACTTATGTATTCTGATGCACCAACGCCCTGGGCATAAAACGAATCACAGATGTCGCTTGTTTACTGAAGCCTCTGCAAAACCCCATAGTCACTAGCCCCCAATGCTCACAAAGGGGGGCTGAAAATCAAAAAGCGAGTATTATATATATATGTGTGTGTGTGTGTGCATACATACATATATATATATATATATCTGTATACACATGTAGAAGTATATGTGTGTGTTGTTTTATTCCTATCTGATACCTATCGTATATTTATGCCAGAGTGCACCATACAGCCCTAGTCTAAAGGATCTCCCATCTGAGCTAAACCCTGGATCCTGCCCCAGGAAGCAGAGACCAGCTGGCGTCAGATGAAGCTACTGGAGTGCCGGAACTTGCGGCCGGGTCTCCTAAAACAAGGATCTTCAGGGGTGGCGAAAGTGGTTTTAAGCTCGGGGTTTAGGGTTCAGGGGGTTCAGGGACTATAGTTACGTGGTCGAAGCGGGGTCGATTAGGGTGTAGTTTAGACTGGGGCTTGGGGATCGGGATCTGTTGTATCCGGCGGTTCCTGAAATTAGGGGTCCCGACCTTCTTGATTGAAATTCCCTACTACAGTTGAGGATAGAAATCCTGCATTACGTTAATACCCTAAACTATGGGAATGATGGTACATTCCAATTATTATGGGCAATTCAGGATTTATATCATCAACCGTAGTGGCCCTAGGCCCTAGCCTTCGTTTGATGTTTCATCTCCAGGTCCAGCAACGGAGTGTTTGGAGTCCCCGGAAGCTAACGTCCTCATGCCTTGGCATTTGGGCTACCACACATTCCCTTAGGGTCTACTCAAGCACTGGGGGATCATTACGTTTCACTGCCTTGTTAAACCTCAGTTTTTGTATTGCCAAGCTGCAGCGAGGCGGAAATATGCATGGCAGCATGGCAGCCCAGCTCTATAAGGTTCTATAGACTCTAGGGAACGTCAAGAATTGAGTGATAGATTGGGTCGAAGCAAGGTGTCGGGGCATGAAAGATTCGACCTTGGAGCGGTCAGAACTGCACGAACATGTCTACATTTAACAAAGCTTCGATGAAAGCTAAATTGATTTCCGACCCCCCCGGACGCCCCTACACACCAAAATCCCAGCCCCACGTACCGCTGTGCTGGCTTCTTTAGTGCATCATCCCCCTGCCATATGTAGCCTTTCAGGCATGAGCTCTCCAAGTGGCAACATCAGGCTGAACTGTGGGTGACCTGTTGGGTGCTGTTTCAGCGGACCATGTGTTTGGAAAGAGTCGCAGCTTCATCTTGACCTTTTGTTTGGGGGCTGTTGCATTTTGCTGCTCCGTCGACCGCAGCATATGAACACCGAAGGCAAGCCTTCAGCCGCCCTCTTTCAATAGTCTGCAACTTTGGAGAGAACGAGCTGCATTCCGACAGGCAGCTTTTACTGGCGGGTGTCGAGCATTTAAGAACGGTGGTCCTGTGCAAAGTTAGCCCGGATCGCTGACTGCTTGCTAAGGCGACAAACTTTCGCATTCCTGCTGGGATTCTACCTGATGAGACGAAGATAACGGGAGAGTTTCCGGCCATGTATGGCACCATTGATTGAATTGGTGCATAACGACACATAATGGTAACGTTGCATACTGGAGAATGTAGAATGTAATGTATAGTAAATAGTAGAAAGTATAGAATTACAAACACTGTAGAGTGATAGTGTACAATAAGTCACACAGAAGAAAATCAAGATAATCTGTACTTCATAGCCAAGCTTGTCCGTAGTCACTGGCCAGGCCTCGACCCTAGAAGCAAAGCGCCCGGCCGATGAGGAAGAGGTGAGGGTTTAGGGGTTGAGGGTTCCATGAGGGTCCAAGGTACTCAAAAGTCAGGTACTCGGTTCTAGGAGAGTGTTAATGTATGCTAGTTTTGTGGAGAGTACTTCTTTGATTATTAGCGACTTGGACCTTTAGAGGTTCAGTTCCCAGATGC